CTAAATTTTTAACAGTTCCAAGCTGAAAGAAAATTAATCTGCGTTTTACATTTGAGATAAAGTAAATATTTAAAAATCCTAGATGATTCCAATAGAAATCCACAATTATAGATTATCTGGCGATAACAAGATAAACAATGGCTTGCGAGATCACCGTGCTAATCATCGGCAGCTATTCTCGTCTGGGTTAAATTAAGATAAAAAAAAATGATCTCATTAAAAATTCATATACATGTCTGTGCAAAGTCAACACGTATATTCAGTTTTATGATGTCACAACAAAAAAGCTAATTGGAAATTTATTGTATTTTAATGAGGACGAACATTATAATAGAAAACGTAAAGGAAATCAGATCGTTACTGGATGTGTAGTTCAGATGTTAAAGTGACCAGTCGGTGGTGGGGGTTATTAAGCAATAATCAACTACAATCAAACTTCTCCACCAGTTCACATGTCTTAAGGGACAATGTTGGTTGGAAGAATTAATATTTTATCAAATTAAAAACTAAGAGAAGTGAACACACTTACAATCATTGTACATGACTCAAAGAACGAAATAAAGATTCTTTGACTTCATACAATATTAATTCATCAATTGAACTTGTTGCATGCAATCAATTAAAATCAATTAAAGATTTTGGTGAGTATTTTTTAATAATTTAATTTATTTAGTCTAATTCTAAAAGAAAACTTTGCTTTGGAAACTCTGAAATTTCAATTTTTGAATGTATTATCAGTGACTCATACACGCGATGAATTTGTTAATTTTTAAAAGTTAAATTTATATTTTATAAACTTTTTTTCTCTTTTCAATACTGAATTCTAGCATTTTGAATGTGAACGTTTACAAAAGACCAAGTTGTGTTATCCAACAAGGTTTATATAACTGGGGTTTAAACAGGAACACTTTTTCGTATAAGAATCTACAAGCATGCAGACTAACGACTGTTCCCTCGAAGTCTAATTTCGTGACACTTTGTTTCCAAGTCGTAGTCGAAGTTTAAGTTCAAACATCTTCAAGCATCAAAATATTTCATCATTTCATTAAATATTAATATAAATAAGTTGTTATTAATTTCACAGTAAAGAAATGATGTATCCGGTGTTGCAAAATAATTATTTTATTATGAATATAATTCTGCTAATAAATACTCAAAATGTGTCTGTTTTCATAATAGTTTTCTACGTGATATTAGATCTCTTTTCTCCCAATGGAATTATATTCACTTAAATAAGATTTTTTGTATTTTATCTGACAGTCAGGTAATTATTCAGAAATACATCTGAGAAATTAAATGTAGTTATCCACCCGATGGTAGATATTACATTTTGATCCCAGCCAAGTGGCCGAGATTATATGGCGACGGTGAGATTCGCACAACTTTTCTTGCAGTTTTTCGTCACGATCACGAGTTCCGTCGTAGGAGCATCACATGTACTGCAGCCGCAGCAGAAGTGGTGTGTCTTGGGCCTGACGGAGACCAAGCCTTTTCAAGTTGGTTTGAATACAGTTTTCCTTCTCCTGGACTAGTCGCCAACCAAGGTTACAAAACCCAGAATGTTCTGTCATTTACCTATAACTCTCCATACCTTTCCCAAGAGTATTAGCACGTAAGTGAATGTAATAAATCCGACTGGAATTTGAACTCGTTTCTCCGATTCCCCCAAAAGATGAATTTCACTGCACCTCCTCTCTTTTAGAAGAAGAAGAAGAAGAAGAAGAAGAAGAAGAAGAAGAAACGTGTAATTTTGATCTTGACAACGAATACTGAAAAAATGTAGACTTTTTAGGTTCACTGTGATTAATTTATAGCATTTATATATATATTTATAATTTATAGCATTATAAATTTTAAATCGAAATCAAAATACTAATAAAATGTAATTAGGACTTCGGTAATTTTTAGTAGCAGAAGCTCCTGTCAAGTGTTATCATTTTAAGAATTGTTATAGAGAAATAAATGCTATCAACGGCTTGTATCAAAGTGTTGGCGCGTGATCGGAGCTGATTCTCATACAAGTGTGCCGACGACGACGTTACGCCTGTAAATAGTATCTACCAACACTTTCTGTTTTTAAAACAATGACATGGTTTCTACCCCAGGGTAGGAATCCCCGATACAACGATGCTTCTGTAGGGTTAGGAATTTCGGAGTAGGGGTGCTGTCGCAGGCTGGGAATCCCACGGACAGAGTTGTTGTCGCAGGCTGGTAATCTTCAGGATGGTGGTGATTTCGCAAGGTTAAAATTACCGGAAGGAAGGTACTGTCTCAGTGTTGTAATCACCAGAACGGAGATACAGCCACAGAACTAAAATCCCCAAAGGATGGAGGTGCTGCTGCAGAGTTGGGATCTCCAGGACAGAGAAGCATTATCAGGATTAATAGTCTCTTCGGTTCGAACACTAAGAAGTAGAAAAGAAAAAAAACGTTATTATAATGAGCCACAGCCATACCATGATCTCTAAATAACCTGAAATTGTTTCAGTTATTGGTTTTGTTCAATCAAATATTCTGCTAATTAGTCCTTAATTATCTAAAATTGATTAGTGAAAATAAAATTAGATCAGTCCGCATAGCAGTTTAGAGTTTGTTTCTAAAAAGAAAAGAAAAAAAAAAAAAAAACAAGTATTGACTTATTTGTATCAAGAAACAACTTTCTTTTAAAAGTTGTACCTGATGAAAATGTGGTTTAGAAAAAAAACTATCTATCTATCTATCTATCTATCTATCTATCTCTCTCTCTCTCTCTCTCTCTATATATATATATATATATATATATATATATATATATATATATATATATATATATATATATATATATATATATATATATATATATATATATATATATATATATATATATATATATATATATACTAAAAAATCCCAACAATATTAGTGTGGCCAACAGTCAACTTATCAGACGACCTAATAGTTTACATAAAAGACCAAAAGGCAAACACCTAAGTAAAATACCAGAGTTAATATATATATATGTGTGTGTGTGTGTGTGTGTGTGTGTGTGTGTGTGTGTGTGTGTGTGTGTGTGTGTGGAAAAAGTTTATTTGTGACGTTTCATCCGTTCGGACTTCATCGGATGAAATGCGTCGCAAATAAACTTTCCATTTTGTCTTACAATTTCCTCAATACTGTTTTGACATACAAAAATATATATCGTTATCTATATATATATATATATATATATATATATATATATATATATATATATATATATATATATATATATATATATATATATATAAGAACAACAGGTCTTGGAGAGAATTAGATTACCAAAAAGAAATATGGTTTTCAGTAAAGCAACTCTTTTACAGTAATGAAAAACAAACGTATGCAAAAACGTATCATATTGATTATACAAACATATCCATAATAATAACATATCAATAATAGATATCAATCCCTTAAATGTCCAAACTGTCATTCACACACACCACTTTACCCGTACAACAGTTATTAATATTATTTATTAAAAATAAAAAGTGTATTATAATAGATATTATGAAAGTAAAAATATTAAAAATGATTTTAATGAATTCTAATATTGAATAACTCTTAGGACCAGAATTATAATTACTGGTATACCTACTTTTTACAGACACCCATATACATTTTCACTATCATTTTTTGCAAGAATTTATTTTTAAGACAATAAATACATTGCGTGCTTTCCTAGTAAAAGTGTTTCAAAACTGTTGAACTTAGTAAAATAAATAAGAATAAAGATAAAAATAAGATAGAAAATAAAGTTGAGACATTCTTTTTTGGTAGGGACATCATTTTCCCTCAAAAGTTAATATAATTACTTTCATATTAATTAGCATCATTTGGCGAGTCAAAAATGAGGTTTCAAAAGTTAGTTTTTGTTGATCTGAAATCGTTTTATTTTTTTAACTTTTCTGTTAATTCACCCCAAAATAAAAATGATTTATAATTATTAAAATTCACATCAAATTCTCCCAGAGCGAGGCCCTTCCATTTCACCCCGGTTTGGTTGACCTTTGCGATTCCCCAGATATCTTCCACTCCGGTGCGTTATTTCTAAGTGTTTGGTCTCCATTCGCGCTCACCCCGATAAACAAGCCAAAAACATATTTCTCTCTCTCTCTTTTTTTTTTTTTAAATTGTAAAAAATTCCTTGTAAGTACCTCGAATAACATCCGCACGTACGAAATGTGTTTAACTTCCGAATTTTTGGTAATTTTTCTTTGTGATGTTTGGAGTTGTTACGATGCAAGCTAAACAAATTTCGATTTAAAATTTAGAATCTCAAGAGTGCCAAAAATTTAATAAAACAAAAAAGAAACTTTGATTTAAAATTTAAAATTTCTTGGGCTAAATTAATCATTGCGATATGTAACTTTACATCATTTGTGGTGAATTAACAGAAAATACCCCATTTTTTTTGGTTTTGCCCAAACTGCTAAGCATTTATATTTCAGGTAGAAACAGTCAAACTTTGCCATTAAGTTTCAAAGACTCATAAAGTTTGCTTTCTTAAAAAAAAGCTGACTTTTTAAACGGATTTTTAAAACAAGGAATAATTGTTTTCATCCCATTGTTAATTAACTGTATTGTTTTTGCAGTTATGACATGTAAAAGAAATCCAAAGACCCAATTAAATTTAAATCTGCATTGAAAAATATTGAGTTACTTCCAATACAAATTTGGCGCTTTTTTTCGGTTGTGGTTTATTCCAATGTTATTACCGTATGTACTTGAGTATAGTGCATACTATTATATGATCAGTTACTTACGCAAAATATAGACTTTCACACTATACACACGTAATTTTAACAGAGGATTTTCTGGAGGCCTTAAAATTCCCACAAAAACATTCAGGGGTCGCACATAAAGTCGGTTTAGGTTTATACACGAATATATACGGCATATTAATATTAATTTTATAATGATAAATACTCATATTATGCTAATAAAATATCATTATTCATGTAAAATTTTATTATTAATATTACTTACGGCCATATCACGTTGAAACTACGGTTCTCGTACGATCATCGGAGTTAAGCAATGTCGACCCTGATCAGTATCTAGACGGGTGACCGCTTGAGAATAGCAGGTTCTATAAACTTGCAGGTGGGGAAAGGGTAATCGGAGTTCCAGTTCCGGTCGGGTTCGTTATATTTACTTACGTAGAAAGGGTCTGAATCAACCTCTTCTTTATAGGTTAATTGGTAGCACTTCATTATTATCTCCAAAACATTTATTACAGTCTAAAAATATTTTCTGGGTTTAATTAACCTGCAAAAAATTGATAAGACGTAAAAAAACAAGTCAATATTATGATACTAATAATATGTGATTATTATATTTAACACCGTCCTGTTCTCACAGGAATCGATTATACAAGCGTGACAGTTCCGCTCACAACAGACACCTATTTGTGTCTACGCTAAATAATTTTAAAAGTGTCCTTGAAGGTGCTAAGTCTTTTTTGCTGAAAGAGAGAGAAACCGTATAGCCTCTAACAACTTGGACTCCCGTGACTACTGGCAGACCTTTAATAGTCTGTTAAATTAGAGTAAGTCCTCCATCCATCCTCCTCTCTTCCCTTAGTTTCGTGTTAACATCTTCTGTTGATAAAATGAATATTTGGCTCGTAAATTCTCTTCAAATTCTACTCTTGACTCATCTGGAGTATCTTTGATTGAACTTCCACTTAAAACTAAATCCCTGTTAAGTGATATGCATATAACTCCCTTCACGGTTTCTGTAATCACCCTTACACGGGATCCCCACAAAGCATGTGGACCTGATAGCATTCCTGTCCTCAAGAAATGTGCTCCTTAACTGGCTCCTGTTCTCTCAAAATTCTACAAAAAATACCTAGCAACTTTTTGCTTTCCGGTTTGTTGGAAACCCTCTTCTGTGGTTCCAGTCTTTAAGACTTCCGGTGAACCGTTTGATCCTTCCAACTATCCGCCTATCAGACTTCTACCTCTTTTTGGTAAAGTATTAAAGGCTCTAATCAACTGAATTGGTCAAGTATCTTACATCGCAGTGTCTTTCTTTAGATGAGCAATATTTCTTTCCCTTCACTAGGTCAACTGCTGAGGTATTAACGATTAAGGCACAAAAAGTTCATCAAGCTTTAGATAAGAATGGTGAAGCATGGGCTGTTGCTTTGAACATCTTGAAACCGTTTGAAAGGATTTCGTATACCGGTCTTCACAAATTGAAAGGTTATAGTAATTCTGGGCGATATTAAAACTGCCTCGAACGACCATTCTTCCAGATCTGTTTGCATTAATACAGGCGCGCCCCAGGGCTCGATCCTTGTACCTACGTTGTTCCTAATTTTCCTCAACGACCTTCCTAATGCCATCGGTGCTCAACTTGGTATTGATACTGATGAAATTTATTCCTGCGTTAATAATAACTCTGATCAGTTCGATGTGAGGATAAATTAGCAGCTGATCTCAATCGGCTCTTAACTGGGGCAAGGAATAACTTGTTAATTTTAACGCTTCCAAACCGAAATGTGCAAAAATTATATTGAATCAACTGCTAGGTTAGCTGCGAGGAAAATTGACTCACTGTGTTGCGATAAACAATTTTTCACACCAGGATTTATTTTACATGTTTATAAGTCTACCATTCGTCCATAATTTGAATATTGCTGACGTTACTACTATATACGGATGCAACTCTAAAATTCTCGATGGCCAGCGATTGGCGACTGATCTCTCTTCCGACCTTGTACAAATTACCCAACTGACTGGTTACATTCAATGCCTCGAAGATCAAGATACTTACGTTCCATCATCGTCGATCTGACCCTGAACTACCACCAATCAAGATGAATGAAGTTCCTCTCGAGGAAGCACCGTGCCTTCAAATACAAATGCTGCAGGTCGTCCTGGGCCCTGCGCTACATGACACCTACGTCTCGTCCTCGGTCACCGGTGTGTCCGCGATCAAATTCTGCAGCTAACTGTGAAGTTGGTCACTTCGACCCAAGCCTCTCCCTGTCCCACGTTGTGTTTGTTTTGATCACAACATCGTTGCATTGGTGTCGTCCAGGCGGGACGATGTTACAAGACAAAAAAAGAAAGTTGTGTAAATCAACACGGTTTATATAACTGAGGTTTAAACAGGAACACGTTTTCGTATAAGAATCTACAAGCATGCAGACTAAGAACTATTCCCTCATAGTCTAATTTGTTTCCAAGTCGGAGTCAAAGTTTAAGTTCGAACTTCTTCAAGCAGCAAATTACGGAATTCTGATGAAGTACTCGTCTCTCTCTTTCTCTCTCTCTCTCTCTCTCTCTCTCTCCTCTCTCTCTCTCTCTCTCTCTCTCTCTCTCTCTGACGTTATATAGAGACTTTCAATTCTTCCACGGCAATTTCATCACTCTGCTTAATTTATCTATTAATCTGGAAGAAAGCATGATTCAGGAGTTTTTCATGTCAGCAAATCACATGGTGTAATGGAAGCACGTCTCTGCTTCAGCTACTTCTCTCTCTCTCTCCTTCTCTCTCTCTCTCCTTCTTTCTCTCTCTCTCTCTCTCTCCCTGTCTTCTCTTCTCGCTCCTGGAATTTCTGCATATCTATTTATGAAGTCCAGCCTCCAAAAACCGGGTTGGGGTCGGCTTGTTCTGGGATGCCGTTAAATCTCCTGTCATCCAATCAAATCTCTCCACGAGTGCTGCTGGGTGGCCCTTGTATATCCAAATATGGGAAGCTCCCCCTGTGGGAGTGGCAGTAGCAACATATCGATCCGCCATCTTGTTCTCCCCCTTTCACTTGCTCGCATTTCCCACCGGTACCTTTCAGTGGACGTATTCATTTTCTACTCACTTCCCCAAAGCAGCTTCTCACAATCACCACCATCCCCGTGGGTGCCCAACATAAGACAGGTGTTATTTTTAATGTCACCATAAATTATTATCTGTATTTCTTATTCCTAATTATCACGTTTGGTTCGTAACTTTTCCTCTTTTTCCCACTTGACCGAAATTTTCCGGCCTAAGAAAGTCTTGTTCCTTTAGCGACAAGCGTATCCTCCATTCTTATCAACAAGTGACACAAAATCATTTCTTTACCTTTTTCCTCATCCACCTGTAGCCATAAAATTATTATCTGTAACTAGCTTGGTGGTCTCTATTCAAAATCGCTCTCCTCTCACCTTGTCCCCTGGGCTTCACTTTAACTTGATGTCTAAGTGGATTTCAGTGTTATCTTCTAGCGAGTTCCTTATTCACGAAATGAGAAATAAAATAAAGTATATTTTCTTTTGTTTTCGGTATGTCCTTCAATCTATCTACTACCTTCTTCGTCTTTGTATTCACTTTCGATTTAATTCAAGCCTTTTTTGCTTTCTTCAAATTATCAACATTCTTACGGTGTTACAGAAAGACTGTTGGCCCTCAAACTCACACCCGACCTCAAGTGGAACTCGTACATACGATCCGTTTGTAAGGATGCATGTAAAACGGTCGGCTCCTTATACCGCTCCATTAAGTACCTGACCCCTCCAGATATCTCATACCTTTACAAGACCCAGATCAGGCCAAAAATGGAGTACTGTTGTAATATCTGGCGCTACCGTTACTGGAAAGTGCCCCTACGAACTACATTTCCTGGTCCCGCCAAGTCAAACTTTCGCAGCAAGAACACGCCATGCCACTTACATAGTAGCAAATCATCTACATTCCCACCGTATTCCGTCGGTGAGAAATAAGTTCTACTCGAGCAGCTTCTCCCCGCGAATCACTGCCCTGTGGAACCGATTCTCGACAGGATAATTCATCGAGCACTACAATCTTAAACTATTCAAGGCGAGGGTTAATTGTTATCTCCCTCGCCTATACACACAAATGGCCTCCTAACGTAACCTACACACACAAAGGCCTTCCTAACCTCGGGCCTTGTAAAGAGGAACTCCCACTGTCAAAAAAAAAAAAAAAAATACACCCACTATATAAGTAGACCCCTACATTTATAATGAGATTTTAGGCTTAGAAACTTGACCTGGACAACGCCGCAGTTTAACGTAATATTTAGCCCCCTCTCTCTCTGTATCTCTCTGTCTATCTCTCTCTCTCTCTCTCTCTATATATATATATATATATATATATATATATATATATATATATACACACACACACACACACACACACACACACACACACACACATATATATATATATATATATATAAGAGCCGTCTACTGTATTCGAGGATACCTGTATAATAAGGCAGCTAGCCAGTTCCTATTGCAGACGCTCGTTCAGGCACATTTGTATTTGTTCAACACCAACAGAGTCCACCAGTGCTTTATACTGCAACTATACTGAGCAGACCTTAGTTACAGTTTCTGAGAAAGAGCATGTTTTCTAGCGTGATCAAAAATCTGAACAAGGCCAGCATACTCAAACCCTCGATGACTTGTGACTTCATGCTAGCACAGCTATCGACCAAAGGTTCCAACTACCCAATTTCACTCACAAGGTTTGGGTCATATATATATATATATATTTTAATTTAATTGCAAAATTAAATTCAGGGTTTTTAGCTTCTATTTTTGAAACATGGTTGGAACTGTGTAGCGAAAAAAACCATATTTTAAATCACTTAATTTATAATATTAATGCTCTGTAAATTTACATTGAGCACTATTTTGTAAAAATAAAATATCTATAAGAACACCGGATTTTATATCTTACTGTTCTTTTCTTTATATATATATATATATATATATATATATATATATATATATATATATATATATATCGGACTAAATTTAATCCGATGAAGTTCTGAAGGATGAAACGTGTCACAAGTAAACTTTTTTTTGTCATACATTATCCCCAATATTGTTCTTGATATAATATATATATACTTCTTGATATATATATATATATATATATATATATATATATATATATATATATATATATACTTCTCGATTTTTCTTTTTTATATGCGCTTATCATTGATGCATTTTTTTCATAGTGTATTTGTGCATTCACGCCCGTGCACCAATGCTCCTGTCTGCGCGGGTGTGCGTACGTGTAGAGCAGTGGTTCTCAAACTTTTTGAAGTCGGGGCACACTTG